GGCTCTGAGCTGGAGAAGCCCCCCTGGTACAGAGGGAGGTTGTGGAGGGCTGGAAATCCTCGTGTCTGAGCCACCCAGCCTCCTGCACCTTGATCAGCACTGGCAGGGAGTGAAGCTCTGGGCTGGCAGGAGGAGAAATAAATCCCTGCAGCACATGGCTGGGCTGGGAGGGAGCTGCAGCTGCTGCTCAGGAGTTCTCCCTGCAGAGTCCGGGCAGGAGGAACGTGTGGGATGCAAAATTGGGTCCTTGCACCCTGTCTGCACCATCTGACCCTCTTCCCTGTGCTCTCCAATAAAAGGAGCTCTTTCCAGGGCCTGACATCTGCTGTTCCAGCCCCACAGCAGCCCCAGGCCTGCACCAGGCAGGTGGAAGCTGCTACAATGAGTTTCCACATCATCAGCATCTCCACAGAGAGGGGTTTGGCAGCAGAAGTCCTTCCCCACTCCTGGGTGGGAAAGGTCTTGCCCTGAGGACATCCTAATACACAGAAAAAGTCCCTGGTGGAACAGATTTGGGTCAAGATCCTGGGGGATGCAGTGAGATGTGCTGACAGGGGGGGTCTGGTGGCCTCCAGCAGAGGGAAGGGTGCTGGGTGACTGGGTGGGGTGCTGTGCAAAGCCCTCCCCAAGCCATCCCATCCCTTGTTCCTTGGACAACACACGGGATGTGACATAATGAGCAAAGCACTCGGGACAAGTGTTAATTTTTAATAATGCCACTTAGATTCAGCAGCACCACTTGACCAAGTTTAACCTCTGATTTGGAAGGGGAAGGGAAATTAAGTGGAGTCATCCTGGTGTTCAGCAGCCATGTCTGCAGAGTTCCTGCTCTGGAGCTGCTCAGGAGGGTTTTCTGCTCCAGTTCATGCCTTCTCCCCATGTAGTTCTTCCTCACTCTCTCCTCTCATCTCTGTGGGTGGATTTTTGGGAACACTCAGATTTGTTCTGCCTGGTTCCTACTGACACCTGCTGTGTTTGCTGAATGACTTCTTGGAGGCTGATGGCCCTCAGGGGGGTGCTGGGTGGATGCCCAGGATCCCAGAACCATCATTTGCACCCCAAGGCTTGGAGAAAGGCTCCTCCTTCCCACCAAACTCATGTGGAGCAGTTAGAGGAGCAGGGAGGAGGCAGAGCAGAGCCCGGGGCTCCTGCCAAGGGCTGGGTGTGGAGGATCCCCACGGTGTGACAGCACTTTTTGCCAGATGAAAGAAAAGACCTGGGCACGAGTCATTATGTGAAAGGAAATGTTGGACCTGGAGCATTCTGCCCCTTCTGTGCCCAGGGAAGTTCATTCCCCACATGATGGATGTGCTCATTATGTTCTGTGTCACACGGAGCAGGGGCTGGACCTGCAGCGAGAGGGCCCAGAACTGGGCACTTCATCACCAGCTGCCACAGGGAAATGGGCTCTCCTGCCCTGGGAGGGGATGTGTTCACACAGATTGGTGGGGGAGCAAGCCAGGAACACGGTACAGGCAGCAGGGAGGTGGGCATCCCTCCAGCCTGCTCCAGGGCACCCCTGCCAGCTGCTCCCCAATTCCAGCTCCAAGTGCTCCCAGCCTGCAGGAGTGGATGTTTCTCCCCCTCTGTGCTCCAAACCCCACAGCTCCTGTTCTGTGAACACAGTGGGGTGTGCTGGGGGGGCTTGGAGCGCACTGGAGTTCTTGCTTGGAGGGAAAGCAACCCCGGAATCACGGAATGTGACCCCCAGGGCTCATGGAGTCCAGCTGCAGGCCCTGCACAGGACTGTCCCCAGGAGTCACAGAGTGCCTCAGAGTGTCCACATGATTGATGCTGGAGCAGCTGCCACCAGAAGCAGCTGCAGGTGGTGGAAGCTCCATCCTGGCATTCAGGAGTCATGGCCATGGTTTGCAACAAGCTTCAAACCAGGAGTGTGTGGGGGGGGGTTCCATATGGAATTCCTGCAGCCAGTCAGAGTTAAATTCCCCTCGGAGGGGGGAAGAAGGTCCAAACTCATCACAGGCTTGCTCTCTCCGTGCAGGGGGCAGCCAGGGCGTGTGTGGTGACCCGGGGATCCCCTCCCATGGCATCGGGCTGGGGGACACCTTCGACGTGGGCAGCGTGGTGCGGTTCAGCTGCGAGCCCGGCTACGCCCTGCGCGGCTCCTCCGACAGGACCTGCCAGGCCAACGGCTCCTGGAGCGGCACCCAGCCTGAGTGTGAAGGTACTGGCACCTCCCCAGCCCCCTGGCTGTCCCCAGAATCACCCCAGAATCACCCCAGCATCACCCCAGCCCGGCCCCTCTGCCAGCGGCCGTTTGGTGCTGGAACAGTGTGGAACAGTGTGCCCAGGTGGCCAATGGATCCTGGCCTGGCTCAGGAACAGGGTGGCCAACAGGGCCAGGGAAGTGATTCTGCCCCTGGACTCAGCACTGGTGAGGCCACCCCTGGAGTGCTGTGTCCAGTTCTGGGCCCTCAGCTCAGGAAGGACATGGAGGGGCTGGAGCAGGTCCAGAGGAGAGCAACGAGGCTGGGGAAGGGACTGGAGCACAAGTGCTGTGAGGAGAGGCTGAGGGAGCTGGGGGGGCTCAGCCTGGAGAAGAGGAGGCTCAGGGGAGACCTCCTCACTCTCTGCAACTCCCTGACAGGAGGGGGGAGCCAGGGGGGGTTGGTCTCTTTTCCCAGGCAACCATCAGCAAGACAAGAGGGCTGGGTCTGCAGCTGTGCCAGGGGAGGGTTAGGTTGGAGATTAGGAAGAATTTCTTTGCAGAGAGGGTGCTCAGCCATTGGAATGGGCTGCCCAGGGAAGGGGTGGATTCTCCATCCCTGGAGGTTTTTAAGATGGGACTGGATGTGGCATCAGTGCCATGGGCTGGGAACCACAGCAGGGTTGGATCAAGGGTTGGACTTGATGATCTCGGAGGTCCCTTCCAACCCAGCTGATTCTGGGATTCTGTGAAATCAGAGAGAGAGGATTCTCTTGCTTGTCACCTCCTCCAAACACTGAGGAGGAAATGTGTGCCCAGGAGCCTCCTCCTCCTGGGTTCTCCTCCTCCTCCTCCCAGCCATCCGTGGGTCACACCCCACAGGAGGGTTTTTGGAGCATCACTTCTCTGCAGCCCCAGCTGGGTTCTGCTCCAGCAGAAGGGGTTTGGGATGCTCAGGTCAGTGCCAACATCTGGGTGGAGGTGTAGGGCAGGAAGAGCCTTTGGGATCTGGTCCTTATTTCCTGCCATCCCCCCCCCACAGACCATTGTTCAGGAATCACTGGGGTCCCCTGATCCTCCTGATCAGAAACAGCCTTTTTTTGGGGTCAGAACTCTGGGTGCCACTAATTCCTTGTTGCCTTGTGGGGGAAATTCAGCAGAATGAGAAACACCAGCAGATTCCACCCTCCCTCAGAGCTGGAACTGGCACAAGCAAGAGTCATTTCCATTAAGCAGAAATGCAAAATGCAAATTATAATCCAGTAAGCACATTTTTTGTGTTTGAAAGCCCCAAACCCCCTGATTTTTCCATTTGAAGGAATCAAGTAAGACCCTATAATCCAATAAATAATCCCCTCACTGGATTCTCTGGGCTCTGCTGCTCCCTGCTACTGTTTTAGACAAGTGTTTAAAAACCAGCTGGGGTAAGAACAAAAGCCAAAAATGAGGCAGGAGACCAAGTGCAAGGAGACCTGGGCAAGTGCTTCTCTCCAGCTGTTTCAAAAGCCAAAAGCTTAGAGAGAGTTTGTAAATGAATTGGAAATTTATTCCAAATTGATGGTGCTCTTGATTGAAAAGACACTGAATCATGTTATTAATACACTCAGATCTCAGGAGGTTCTTTTTTCCCCTCTCTGTTTTTTTCCATCAGTGGGAAGGCTCCGTTCATTAATCTCAGGATAAATAACCCATCAGGTTCCAGAGGCACCAAAATCCAGATCCCTGGCAGATTTTTTTTCCCATACTTTATGAATAATAATAACATTATGCCTCTAATGTAGTCACTTAATGTTAAGTGCTGACTGGCCAGTGTAGGAGAGTGATGCCCAGGGATGAGCATTTGTATTCACCACGAGTCCCAAGTTCTCTGGCTGCACTTTGAGTGGTGTGTTCAGCCCTCTGGAACAGGTATTTATAGGAGAGGGAGAGGGGAGTTGAGTTTGGGGTGAATTCCTGGCAGTTGGAGGGGAAGGCTGAGTGCCCAGGGGGGTCCTTGGGAGGAATGGGCACCTCAGTGGTGCATTCACCAGGACTCAGCTGTGGGTTTGCTGCTCCCAGCTCCCAAAATGGAGCAAAATCAAGGCTGATGGTGCTTCACAGGTCACCAGGGAGCTCATGGAAGTTGCTGCCCAGATCAGCTGCTGGGTGGGCACAGAGGGGCTCAGCCCGAGGAGCAGGAGATGGGGACCCACAGCACAGGGACGTGGAAGTGCCTGTGGACACAGTGCAAATCCAACAGCAGGAATAGGAGGGAAGGAGAGAAAAGCCCTTATCTGCATTTCAGAGAGGGTAAGATGCTCTAACAGGTTCAGTTCCAAAGGATCTGCCTGACTTAGGGGTCAGGGAGCTGATGTTGCACCATCGTGTCCTCCTGCACCGGGACCAGTCCAGGGGGTGTGGGGTCACCTTGGAACTCCTCAGCTCTGGATCTCATACCTTTTACCCACTAAAACATCTTCTAAGGGAACCAAGGGAACAGGGAGGCAGGAAGAAGTCCCAACTGCTTTTCCCAGAATGGACAAATGGTTTGGAGTGAACTGAGATGAGTTGCAGGGGCTCTGCCTGAGCCTCCTGCTTCACTCGGGTTTGTGGAGCTCTGCTTTTGTTGTGCTCAGTAAGAGCAGCTTTCCAAAATGGCAGATTTCAGGCCTCATTTAGCTTTAATTTCCAGCAAATTTTAAAGTGTAAATGTAATTTTAGATGTTTGGGGCTTTTTTTTCCTCCTTTCTCCTCCTTCCTGATGCCCTGTCTGTGTTCGCCGAGGAGCGATGCGGGAAGGGGCTCACAGTTGTACTCTACACTCCCTCCCCCTCTTAAAAGCTGAGCAGAATATTTGCTTTTATAGTGTTTGTTGTTTCTCCGAGGGAATTAAAGCTGCATCCAAAATGAGTCAGGGCTCTGGCTGCTCTTTGGCAGTTTCAGTAGAGAGAAATGATTTATTTTAAGCGATAACTGGGAAAAGGAGCAGAGTTTTGTCTGCTGCTCATTTGACTGCTGAGGACATGGGAGGTGGCAGGGCTGGGATTCGGGTCTAGACTGTTTTATTCTTCCTCTCTCTGCATAGTTGGGTGGGTTATGGGTTACTGGTTAAATTAAACAGCCTGGAAATTACCAGCCCTGAAGGAAAGGCTTTGAGACTCCACAAGCCCTGAGCTGTCCCTTCTTCCAGCAGGAGGTCCTGCTGATGTGTCAGACATCATTAGGAGAGTGTTTGGGATGGGAGCAGAGCCTGAAAGAAGAACTGGGGGTTATGAGGAGCAGCTCAGAGGAGGGGGGACATGCAAAGGACACAAGCTCACATGTCACCTCAGTGACAGGCACCGCTGGCGCCTCATGCCTGAGAGAGGGGCTGGCTGCTCCTCACACCCCTCTCACTGTGTCCAGGGGGGGTTTTCTGGGCAGAGTGAGGAGAAATTAAATGTTTCATGAGTACCAGCACTTGCTCCTTGCCCTGCTCAGGGTGCTGGGGGGGCAGCTCAGTGGCCTCGTCTGAGCATCGTCTGAACATGCCCAATCAGGACCCAGAGAAATTCCCTCCTCCCAGCAGCTTCTCGCTGTAAAACTCACAGGAAGCAGCAAAGGAAGGCAAAGGGAAACCTGAAAGCTTTTCAGAAAATGGATGTGTGTGGATTGGAACCCGATTAATTATTGCTGAGCTCTGGAGCACCTCTGAGCTGGGATGTTTTCTGTAGCAGAGGCACTTTGTAAGAGGCAGGAGCTTCCCAGATTCCCCCTGCAGGGATGGGATCGTGGGGATCAGCTCTGGTTGTTGTCAGGGGTCCCACTGTCCCTGTTTGCAGGCCCCCCCCAGTGGCCTCAGAAACCATTTTTTTCGTGTTCCTAATTCATTTTACACCTCCCACTGCAGCCAGAGGGAATTATTTGCCCCCTTACTGCTCTCTTGCATGATTAGATCCTACTGATATTTAAATTGCTGTTTCAGACATTCAATCCTTTCATCCTTATATTTATGACTTCTCTTGTGTCTGGCCCATGCAGGTCCCAGCTGATCCACTCTGCCATTAAACCATTCCCACGAGTCCCCTCCTAATCCCAAAAGTAATAATTTGGGGGTCGTCCGTGTGTGTTTTTTGGCCACATGAAGAAGTGGAGGAGGGTGGGCAGGAGGGAACTGATGGACGGGCAGGCAGTGAAATGGTAATTCAGAGCTTTTTTTCCGAGGTGATGGAATCTGACTTTTATCCCAGCATCTCTGGGAAATGACACTGGAATCTGTAATGAGCTCCACCTCGGGAGCCACGAGGAGTTGTGTGCACACAGCCCAGAGCAGTTATTAGTTTCCTCCTGTCAGACAGATCTGCCTCCAAGCAGCTCCTGTGTTAACAGGCTGTCAGCAAACCAAGCAGCAAGAGGGGAAGGCTCCTCTCCTCGCCTTGGTGGGCTGTGCTTGTTGCATTCCTGCTGGAGTTTGTGCTTCCCCGTGGAGAACAACTGGAAAAACTGGAGTGTGTGGTGCAGGGAGGGCCCAGGATGGGTCACCGTGGGTCCCTGCTCTCACAGAGCTTTTGGGGTGTTGCTGGGGAAGGGGGGCAGCCAGGAGTGTTCTGGGATTTGTGGCTGAAGCCTTTCCTTGATTCCTGTGATTTTCTTTTGGGTGCTGTAATTTCGGAGTCAGTGAGGGGCTGGGGGCAATTACTGCAGGTGCTTATTTTGTCCTGGCAGGGCTCTGTGCTCCACCATCCCCAGGCCTTTTTGTTCCTGGGGTGCTGAGGCACTTCAGACATAAAACTTGGGCACTGACAAGCCTGTAATTGTATTCCCAGGATATTCTCCCTCCTCTGAAGGGATAATTGGCTATGGCTGGGCAGTGAGCAGTGCCACAGTGGGAGGGCAGCAGGCTCCCTTTACTGCTCTCCTTCCTCTCAATGCTGCACAGTTGTTGACATCCCAGTATTAGGACTTGGCCTCTGATCCTCGTGGGTCCCTTCCAACTCAGGATATTTTAGGATCCCAAAGGCAAAGTGGCACACTCAGTTCCAGGCTCCCAAACTCCTGGAATGTGGAGGGACTCCAGGCTTGGCACCACTGCTTTGTTAAGCTGTGGGACCACGAGGCTGATTATTGCAGGATAAGGCCCTGCAGTAAATGGACACAAGTCCATCAGGCAGGGGGGGATTCTCCCAGGATGTGCCTGGGAGAGCAGCAGGGCTGGAGCTTCAGTGGATGCAGGGACAGAGTGTTTTCCAGTCCCCTGAGAGAGATGCAGATCCTTGGAAGGGCAGAGCCCTGCTCTGAGCTGGGGAGTGGTTTGGGGATCCTGCTGGGTTGATGCAGCTGCTTTTCCATGGAACAGCTGATCCAGCAGCTCTGCAGCACATCTTGCTTTCACTGAGAACAGTTCACTGCAGGAGGAAAACCTCGTTTTTTGGAGGGGTCGTTTGTGTTTCGTGGTGGTTTGGTTTTTTTTTTAACTGTGCCATTTTGCTTTCCAGTGATATCCTGTGGGAACCCAGGAACCCCCAGCAATGCCAGGGTCATCTTCAACGACGGCCTGGTCTTCTCCAGCTCCATCATTTACCAGTGCAGGGAGGGCTATTACTCCACAGGGGTGCTGAGCAGGCACTGCACCGTGAACGGGACGTGGACTGGGACCAGTCCAGAGTGCACAGGTGAGCACTGGGATAGATCCCTGGGGGATGAGGGCCCTGGGGACGGGGTGTCTGGGCTCATTGTAGCCTGTGTCACCCTGAGAAACTGTGCTGAGCTGTGTCCTGGCAGCAGCAGAGGCTCAGCCCGTGCTCTCTACCGGTGCCTAATGGAAAAGTCTTGCTTGGAGTTTGTTTTCTTCCAGTTGGATGAAGGGAGCCCTGTAATAATTCCATGAGTAGATGTTGGCCAGCCTCGGGGGGCTCTCTGGGGCTGCTCCTGAACGTGAGAGTTCCTGGGAGGAGCCTGAGCAGGGCCCCTGCTCAGAAAAGCCTCAGGGAAGGGGTTGTGTTTCCTGCAGAGGAACGTGGACGGGGCCAAACGTGGCCTTACATAAGAGGCAGTAACTGGGCTGAAGGGGGGGGGACCTGCCTTCCCCCAGCCAGGACCTGACCTGGGTTTGCTTCAATGTTTAATGTGTGTTAATACAGCTTCTTGCAAAGTCTTAATGTGCCATTAAGGTCCCTGCTCACTCCACTGAGGACAGGCACAGCCAGCACATGAGCCAGCAGTGTGGCCAAGAAGGCCAATGGATCCTGGCCTGGCTCAGGAACAGGGTGGCCAACAGGTCCAGGGAAGTGATTCTGCCCCTGGACTCAGCACTGGTGAGGCCACCCCTGGAGTGCTGTGTCCAGTTCTGGGCCCTCAGCTCAGGAAGGACATGGAGGGGCTGGAGCAGGTCCAGGGAAGAGCAACAAGGCTGGGGAAGGGACTGGAGCACAAGTGCTGTGAGGAGAGGCTGAGGGAGCTGGGGGGGCTCAGCCTGGAGAAGAGGAGGCTCAGGGGAGACCTCCTCACTCTCTGCAACTCCCTGACAGGAGGGGGGAGCCGGGGGGGGTTGGTCTCTTTTCCCAGGCAACTCTCAGCAAGACAAGAGGGCTGGGTCTTCAGCTGTGCCAGGGGAGGGTTAGGTTGGATATTAGGAAGAATTTCTTTGCAGAGAGGGTGCTCAGCCATTGGAATGGGCTGCCCAGGGAAGGGGTGGATTCTCCATCCCTGGAGGTGTTTAAGGACAGACTGGATGTGGCATCAGTGCCATGGGCTGGGAACCACGGCGGGGTTGGATCAAGGGTTGGACTTGATGATCTCAGAGGTCCCTTCCAACCCAGCTGATTCTGGGATTCTATGATTCTATGATTCTCCACGTGCCCAGCCCGGCTCCCTCTACGTGCCGTGTGCTCCAAACCCTCCCTTGCCCATGGCCCTCTGACCTGCCTGCCCAAAGCCCTGGGGACCATCAGGTATCTCATTCAGGCAGATCCAGAGGTGTGAGAGGAGGGCTGGGCAGCCAGAAATGCTCCTCCCCTTGCCTTTGGCAGTGATCAACTGCGGCGACCCCGGCGTGCCGGCCAACGGCGTCCGCCTGGGCTCCGACTTCACCTACAACCAGTCCGTGGTGTTCCAGTGCACCCCCGGCTACATGATGGAGTCAGACAGGGCCTCCTCCCTCACCTGCACCAAGGACCGCACCTGGAACGGCACCAAACCCGCCTGCAAGGGTAAGGAGGGGTCCCCAGGCCACCAAAGTTTTTGGGACGAGGTGAAAAGTCGCGGCGACTTGTGCGTCGTGCCCGGAGCCCCCCGGGTGCTTCTCTGGGCTCTGTCCTTCCATCTCTCCCCTGTTTATGGCTCTTACACCATCTATCACATTTTACAGCACGAACACCCTGCTATCTTTAAGTCCATCAATCACCACACTGTGCCTGGGAGGGAGACAGCTGCTCTTACCTGTGTGGTAGAGAGGGAAGAGCGAAGCCCAGGGAGCAAAGTGACTCCTTCCTCTTCACAAAAGCTCAGATCAAACTCCACTGAAATATTGTGTTTTGCAAGCACACGCTTCTTGGCATCGTCTGGAATCATCTGAAAAATGTTTCCTCTGAGCCTTTTCATTATTCCTCTGTTCTGAGATTGCTCCTGTGGTTCAGAGATAGAAAAAGGAAATAATAAAGCAGTTGCTGGGCAGGCTGGATCTCTTCTGTGAGTGTTTTACTCACCCACCAAGTGCAGATAAGACTTGTAGCAGCATCTGTGCACTTCTTTAGCAATCTGGAAAATTCACCTGTCATCATGCTGATACAAATACAGACCACAGAGGAACTTTATAATGCACTGCAGCTCCTTCAGAGGCTGTAAAGAGCAATTCTTACGCTGCTCTTTCATTCTCTGCACTGAGCTAATGCTGCAGGAATAATCCAGAATGTGGCCAAGAGTCATGTTTGGAGGCCAGGCTGATTTGCACAGGTTTAGCATCTCTCCCAATGCTCCCCTGAGCTGAAAAGCAAAGCACTGCAAAAATGTCATATTAAACCACCCCAGAGTGGATGAAATACCGACAGGTTGTTGCTTTAGCTGCTGATCAGAAACTCAGCCAGGTTGTCCAAAACGTATCAATCTCCCAGGGAATCCAAGATGAGTTTTCACACCAAGTCAGGGCAGGTTCTTCCCTTCAGCTGGAAATGAAGTGACTCTGATTTGGAGAGAGATCAGGGAAAATGGTTCTTCATTTTCTATGGTTTGGTTAACTCCAAACTTCAAAGTAAAATCCTGGAGTTTTCACCCCAGTCTGTGTCATGTATATACTTCCCCTTTTCACCCCAGTCTGTGCCATGTATGTACTTCCCCTTTTTCAGCCTCTTGCCTGAAAGTTTCTCTTGGCTGTTGAGATAAAATTATGGGAAAGGGTGGGGGAGGCCTGGAAATCAGATTTTAGATTTTTGTGGTGGCTCAAACCACCACACCAGGAGATTCCCCTGGAGGGCAGGCCGTGGCTTTGACCTTACACGACCGTGCCCTTCGTGGAGAAGCGACAGGAACTGAGCCTGCTTTTGTCTTTTGTCTCCCCCCACAGCCATCACCTGCAGAGCCCCCCAGGCCATTCCCAACGGGAAGGTGGTGGGCACGGATTTCAGCTGGGGGGCCAGTGTGAGCTATGCCTGCCTGGAGGGGTACCAGCTGTCCCTGCCCGCCGTGCTGACCTGCGAGGGCAACGGCACCTGGAGCGGGGACGTCCCCCAGTGCTTCCGTGAGTAGGAGCCCAGCCAGGGGCCGGGAGGATCCTGCCCCAAAACCCGCTGGTTTGATGCCCTTTCCATCACCTCTGCTCCCAGTGGGGCTGGTTTTAGTGGCTGGTTTCAGTGGCTGGTTTCGGTGGCCCTGCTGTGCCTCCTGCCCCAAGCCCAGGGGAAGTCGGGCATGAGCTGAAGCCAGTGGGGATTTTTCTTGCTGTGATGATGCCTGAAGTGCCTCTGCCCCAAGGTCTGAACGCTCTGCCCACCTCCCACAGCAGCCAGACTGCTGGGGCACTGGTTTGCCACCTGTAAGGGGGTGGCCCTGGGGACACTGTTGGCAATAGAGATGTGAGGTCACACTTGGAACAAACCTGAGGATTTTCCTCCAAACTGGGTGCTTGTCCAGTGTCTCCCCAGTGGCTGGATCTGCTGCAGTCAGGGCTCCTGGAACTGCCAAAGGCCGTGGGGAAAAAGCCTTTGGCCAAAAGCTCTGTGTCTCTGTCACAGCAGGAGTTGGGAATGTTTTGTGAGGGCAGAGTGGGGCTGGGTGGAAACCTGTGTGCCTGATACAGGAACTGATGCCAAAAACTACCAGTTCAATGTCTCCTAATGCCAAAGGCAGCTCTGAGTTCCTTTTCCAGTGGCTGGCAGCTGCACAATAGCCATTTTCATATTAAATCACACGAAACCCTCCCCGTGTTCCTTGCACCTCTCCCTGGATCCTGGATAATTAGTGTGACACAGAACCAGGTAGCAAAGTGACATGGTGCAATTAGGGAGACATTTGGAAGCTAAGCCTGCATTTAGGGGGGAAAAAGAGAGGAAAAAAGGGAAAAGATGGGGGAGAAGGTGCAAGTTAATTACCAGGATTACAAGGAGAGCAGCCAGTCATGGAGTTGGTGGCAGGGTTTGGGCCATTCACAGACCTGTCTGTAGCTTATTAACACTCCTTTCTCCTGAGGCGGTTCATGGCCATCCTGTTGTCCCTTTGCCCGTTCCAGCTGTGTTCTGTGGTGACCCAGGGACCCCAGCCCAGGGCAGGAGGGAGGACAGAGGCTTCACCTACCGCTCCTCCGTGTCCTTCTCCTGCCTGGCCCCGCTCGTGCTGGTGGGCTCAGCCCGGAGGTTCTGCCAGTCTGACGGGACGTGGAGTGGGACCCAGCCCAGCTGCATAGGTAAGGGAAGAGCTCTGGGCCCTCACCCAGCTCCCCTGGTTTTCTTTTGGTTCTTTTCTTTTTGGTTTTCTCTTCTGAGTTTGCAGAAATGAGTGTTTTGTTGCCCTGGAAGTGGGGACGTGAAGGGATGCTTTTGGTTTGTGGGCACTGGCTGATAAACAACCCCCCTCCTTCTCCTCACTGCTTAGATTCCCATCCCTGGCAGTGTCCAAGGCCAGGCTGGAGCAACCTGGTCTAGTGCAAGGTGTCCCTGCCCAAGGCAGGGGGGTGGAACTGGATGATTTTTAAGCTCCCTTCCAACCCAAACCTTCCTGGGGCTCAGTGTGTGGGCAGAAACCAAACTCCCCCAGCTTGCCTTGCTGAGCTGCAGCCTTGGGATTCAGGCTGACATTTCCACACCTTCCTCAGGTGCTCATCTTGAACCCTGTGACACCTCTGGGAGGTCTGTAACCAGAACTACTCCCAGCATTCTTGGCCTGTTTGAAGCCCTGGCTGCACTCCTGAGCTGCAGGGCTCCTGTGATAAAGGGCATCACCACCATCCCCCCACGTGGGCAGTGGGGAGAAACACATCCATGGGGCTGTTCCCCACGGATTTCAGTCCTTCTGGTTCCATCCTGAATGCACCACCAACTACAGGAATGCAAAAAGAGTCACGGCCTGAACCTCCAATTGGTTTCACCAGGAGCTTTCTCACATCCAGGGGGCTGAGAGCACCTGCTCCTGTGCTGGAAATGTTGGATTGGAATGCTTCAGTGCTTCCTTGCAGATCCTTGTCTGGGATCCTGTTGGACATGTGTGGGACCCACCTCTCAGAGGGCTGAACCAGCCAACCCTGCTCCTGCTGCTGAGGGAATGTGCTGAGGGTCTGTCTGCCCAAAGCAAACCACGAGGAAGGAGACTGGATATTAGGGAAAATTTCTTCGTGGGAAGGGTTGCCAAGCCCTGGAAGAGACTGCCTTGGGGGGAGGGGGGATTTAAAACCCAAAATGTAGGTGTGGCATTCGGGGACTTGGTTTAATGCCAGTGCTGGGGGAATGGTTGGACTCAATGATCTTCAAGGTCTTTTTCCAACCTTAATGGTTTATTGATCCTGTGAAAGGAAGAGAATTGTGTGTCTGCAAAACCTCACCCCAGGATGGCAGTTTGTGACCCAAACAGCTGTACCCCAAGTGCTGTATTTATTCAGATCTCACCCATTTTTGGATACTTTGAGCTTCCAGCACCCAGACCTTGCCCAGGCACAGCCAGGAGGCCGAGGCTCTGCCCTCATCCATCACCCTGTGCCTCCCCCAGCCAGGGGGCTCTTTCTCTCTTTATTTTCCAGGCAGTGATTTATCAGGGGGCTCCCATGGAAACTGCAGCAGTGACAAATGACAGCAGCTTCAGCAGAGCCAAAGGATGGGAGATGAATTAGCCCCAAATCAGCCACGTTCTGTGGCCCTTGTTTAGTCACTCCCCACATCCCCAGGGCCTGGAGACAGCGCCGTGGCCGTGGGAAGGGACTGATGAGTCACATCCTGAGGAATAAAGGCCTAAAAATAAACAGTGGAAGCAGAGAAGTTGTGCTCTGCTCTCCTCTGGCTGCAGGCTGGGGGCAGCCACTCCTGCCCCCACTGTTGACTTTGGGGGGACTTAGTTTATTCCTTGCCTTCCACAGTCCTGTTAATGGGGATATTTTGAGAGGTGTTTGCGGTGAGCAAGTGGAAGAAGGAAGGTTGGGAATCCTGGGATGCTCCAGCTCCCTGCTCCCCCAGCCAGGTCCTGGAGCATCCCAGCACTGCAGCTGAGCAGAGGCACAGCAGGGTGTGTGTGCAGAGCTCTGGGGTGGCCCCTCCTTTACCCCCTCTCCCTGTTTTTGCAGACCCCAGCCTCACCACGTGTGCGGACCCCGGCGTGCCTCTCTTTGGGATGCAGAACAATTCCCAGGGATACCAGGTACTGCCAGGGCAGTGGGATCCCCAAAACCTGCCGTGCTCAGCCCCTGCCTGAGCCCTGGCACAGATCTGTGAGTCCTCCTGGGATGGTGTGATCCCAGTGTCAGACCCCGGGCTGTGTTTGTGCAGGATTAACCAGCACTGCATTGTACATGATATTAATTGCAGTGCTAATTAGTAGTTATTGGTGTAATTACTCCTCACATTTCCATTAATTTTCAGTCCAAATTCCACAGGTGTTTCCCTTTATCTCAGCTCCCATGCAGCAGGAAATCTGTGGAATGGAGGGAGAGAACCCAAAGGGATGCCCTGAGGTGCTCCCTCTCCTGCTGTCCCTGTGGGTGCCCATTCCCTGTTGGGAGAGTTGATTCCATGTGGTTACCCAATGCCAAGTGGATCCTGCAGTTTTGCTGCTAATTAGTTATCTTAATCCTGGGGGTTAATGAACTAATTTTAGGTTTTAATTAATACTGAGACACTACAAGTCTGACTTTTGTCTGAGCTGGCAGTCGGGAGCTGGCACTGGAGTGGAGCTCCCTCTGGAGCTGCTGGGGGGGCTGGGGCAGAGTGTGACAGGGAAATGCTCCTTAAAGGGGCTCCAGGAGAGCTGGAGAGGGACTTGGGACAAGGGCCTGGAGTGACAGGACGAGGGGGGAATGGCCAACATGGAAAATTCTAGAAGCGCCTTTTTCTCCCGGCGTGGCACTGGGGGAGTTCAGTGTTTCCCTGCCCTTGGAACAGGTGGGAAGCATCATCTTTTTCAAGTGCCAGAAGGGGTACCTGCTGCAGGGCTCCACCACCAGGACCTGCCTCCCCAACCTGACGTGGAGCGGCGTCCAGCCCGACTGTGTCCGTAAGTCCTGGGAATGGCACAGGGAGCCAGAGCCTGGAGCCAGGCTGGGGTTGGTACTGGCTCAGGAGAGCTGGGAATTCAGGAGGGAGCTGTGAGAAAACACATTCTTGGAGGAAATATGTCAGATTTTAGGAAGGTTGGGAGATGAGGAAGAAGTTCTCCCCTGGGAGGGTGGGGAGGGCCTGGCACAGGTTGCCCAGAGAAGCTGTGGCTGCCCCATCCCCAGAAGTGTCCAAGGCCAGCTTGGAGCAACCTGGGCTGGTGGAAGGTGTCCCTGTGGGGGTGGAACTGGATGATTTTTGAGCTCCCTTCCAACCCAAACCCCTCTTTGACTCTCCAACACTGTGATAAAAGGGAGCTCACTCCGTCCCTTCTCTCCTGACGTTGCACCAGCAGCCACTTGTGATTTCAGATGAGATTTTCATTGCCTGTCCCTTCCTCAGAGACACAGTTGTCAGGTGAAATGTTGTTTTGTGCTCCTGAAAGCCCATTTGGTGGCAGAGCTGTGAGCTGGCCCTGGGGAGCAGGTTAACATTTAACCAGGAGGGCTCTCCAGCAGAGCAGAGCTTCTCCTCCTCCTCTTTGGGAACGTGCTGCTCTTCCCTTTAAGCTGTCCATCATCTCCCTGCTACAGCAGGAGGAGTTTATTTTAATGTGTTTAAGTGGTGATACCCATCCTGCCCTCTGGGTCATGAGTATTAAAAAGCTCTTTCCTCTCCCTCGTGAGGTGGTTTACTGGGGAGATATTTTTCCACTAACAAGCCCTGTGGATGCTTGTTCTGTGAACAGAACAACTGGGACACCCAGCTTTAAATGCTCTGACATGTGGCATCAGGGGACAGGGGGTGGCTGCTCTGGAAGGAGCTAATGAGTGCTGGGGCTCCCAAACCATGTGAGTTCAGGTCACTCTTCCAGCTCTCTGGGGTTTATATTTCCTCCTCTGTGAAGGGAGGGCGATGCTGGTACCTCCTGAGGGCTGCCAAGGGTTTGTTTTCAATTAGGAGCAGTTGGAGAGCTGCAGGAAGGACATAGCTGGCAAAAATTGGGGGCTGGAACTAGATGATCTTTAAGGTCCCTGCCAACCAAACCATTCTGTGAGCCTGTGAATCTGCAGGGAGAAGGAGAGGGAGCTTCCCTGCTTTGGGATTTACTGGTTTGGAGTCGTAACATCTCAGGGAAGGGGGTGACACATTTGCAGGAGCTGCTGGAGCAGTGTTGGCATTGCTCTGGGGACAGGGAGCTGGACAAGCTCTCATTCAGCCTCTGTGGCCAAATCCTGAGAGTTATTGAGCAGTTACAGGGATTTCTGACCACTGCACACCTCGCTGGGTGATGCTGTGGGCAGCTGGGAGCACGTGATTAGTAGGTCCCATGAAGAGAGGTGGTATAAAAGCCCTCACTGGAATCACTGGCTTAATTTACCAGCTCTTGGTGTCCTGCAAAGGCAGTTTCCAGCCTGCAGATACACCTGGGGCTCAGTTCTGGGCTCAGAGCTCAAAGGAAGGTGCTTTAACATCCTTTGGTTTTGGCTTTTTCCCTTAAAAGTAGGGGATGCCCACTTTTTGGGCAGAGCCAAATTTTCAGTTCATAGAGCTGAGTGAAGGGTCCTCTGAGAGCTTTATCCAGCAAGAGCAATCCCAGCCATGGGAATCTTCTCATTAATTCACCTGGCTGGGAAGAATCCAGGCATGGCATTTCTCAGGGAGCAGGGAAAGCTGTTGGGTAGAAGCTCTTCCAGGAGGTTTCTGTCCCTGCTGACACCCTGGTGTCCCTCTCTGGCCTCCCTGTGTCCCGTGGGTGATGTCCCTCAGCCCTGTTTCCCTTGTCCCTTCCAGCTCACCACTGTAAGCAGCCGGAGACACCTTCCCATGCCAACGTGGGAGCTCTGGATTTGCCATCCCTGGGCTACACCTTGATCTACTCCTGCCAGAGCGGGTTCTACCTCACCGGAGGCTCCGAGCACAGGACCTGCAAAGCCGACGGCAGCTGGACAGGAAAACCCCCCATCTGCCTGGGTAAAGCCCTGGGCAGGGGGTGCCAATGGGGCTGTGTGTGCCCAGGGGACACTGCAGCCCTCAGACCCCCACCAGAGCCCTGTGTTTGTCTCCTGGTTGTGGAGCACACAGGCCTTTGATGTCCCACAAAGGCAGTTTTTGGTCTGTGGATAAGACCCAGGGACTCAGTTTTGGGGTCAGGGTTCAGAGGTGTCCAGAGCATCATTTGGGTTTGGCATTTTTTGCCCTCGGAAGGGGAGGAAAATCAGAGCCTGGTTTTCAGTTGGTGGGAGCTGGAGCCAAGGGAAGGGTCTCTCCAGCCAGAGGATCCCCCAGAGCCACCTGAGGGGCTTCACACGGCTGGTTTGGGTCTGGAAGCACCTTCTTTGTCCTTCACCTCACCCAGCTTTTACCTGCCACAGAGGAGCAGTCATGGTCTAACCTTGACACAGAGCTGTTTGGCTCTCCTGGGGGGTGGGAGCTCACCCTGGATCTTCCCTCTCTTGCAGCCGACGTCCGTCCCAGCGGGAGGCCCGTGGGCACCGCGCGGGACCCGCCGCTCGCCAAGCTCTCAGGTACACAGTGGGATCATTCCCGTGGGACACAGCAGTGACCTTGGCACATCCAGCCCTGCCCAGCCCTTCTCAAACCCAGATCCTTGCTGGCAGCAGCCCATGTGCCCCACCCTGCCCGTGCTTCCCTGGAGAAGTCGTGCATCAGCACCCGCTGCCCTCCCCGGGGCATTCCAGAGATTCCAGGGTTGGACACTCAACCCTTTTTTTTTTTTAAAATAGGTTGTGTTAGCTTTTCCTAATAAATTATTTTGGGGGTGGGGTTCTTTTTAAAGCTTTCACGCTGTTTTTTTGTCAGAACGACCAAATTAAGGTCACGGGGTCGTTTGTTCTCCTCTCCTTGGCTTCGTCCTCAGCGGTGATGGCACAGGGAGAGGGTGGGATTTGAGACATTTAATTATGTATCTGTGACTTGAAAGAAAGAAAGAACTTCTCCTCTATTTTGATCCCTGAAAAAACCCCTGGAAATCCATGGCAATGCTGCTGTTCTGGTGCATTCCCAACCGCTGTGCTTTCCAGTGCCTGCGGACGTGTTCGCGAGGAACTCCCTGTGGAAAGGCTCCTACGAGTACCTGGGCAAGAAGCAGCCTGCCATGCTGTCTGTCACCAGCTTCGACCCTGCCACCAGTAAAGTCAATGCCACCCTGATAGACCACAGTGGTGTGGAGCTCCAGGTGTCTGGTGAGGACACGAGGTGGCCTCTCGTGGGGATTGACGCTCGTCCCGGGGTTGGTTGGTCCCCCCCTGAGGTGACGAGGGGGGTTTCTCTGCCCCCTCAGGCAGAAAGTCAGTGACTTCCACTTCTTTGGCAGGCATTTACAAGAAGGAAGACGTGCACCTGCTCCTCCAGGTTTACCAGATCATGGGGCCGGTGGAGATCTTCGTCAACAAGTTCAAGAACGATAAATGGGCTCTGGATGGACACGTAAGCGCGGGGGCACCTCGGGCACGAGATCCACCCCCACAATTCCTCCTGCTGCTGTCACAGCCTGGCTTTCCTCTCCCTGGAGCTGAGGGATAACTCCCTGAGCTGGTGGCAGCATGAGGCTGCTCCAGTGACCAGTCCTTGAGGGGGACACGGGGCGCTTTTCCAGCCCAGGATGTAACGCGGCGTGACAGCTCCTCGTGCTCCCTCGCAGCTGTGCGTGGCTTTATTGCCCCGTGGCTTGAAATCTCTGCGTCTCCCAGACAGCACTTGAGGAGAAGACAACGTGATTAATTCCATTTTAACGTTTTATGTCTGCTAAACATCAAGCAAAAAGAGCTAATGGAGCCAAGTCCTCACCCCCCTGCGAGCTTCCTGTGCCCTTCAGAGATCCACTGGAGCTTGGCAGAAATGTGCATCTGCTTGACCTGTGGCCAGTGGTGGCCCAGAGCCTTTGTTCCCCCTCTGGGATCAGCAGTGTCTGGTGGAGTTTATTGCAAAACAGGATTTTTTTGTTGTTGTTTTCCCTCCTCCGAGCCGTGAGGGCCTCGAGCTGTCGGGCACTGAGAGGCCTCCCGGAGCACCGCGGTTTTCCGGGGAATTAAATCAAATTAACTCCATGCCTGAGCTTGCAAAGGGCTGTGCTGTGAGATGGGTGTGAAAGCCCGGGGAGGTGCTGGGCAGACGGGCTGATCTCCCCTCTCCTGTCACCGCAGGTCTCGTCGGAGTCTTCGAGCGGCACCTTCGTGTACCAGGGCTTCGTGAGGGGCAAAGGCTTCGGGCAGTTTGGCCTCCAGAGACTCGGTAAAATTCCTCAGATTGGGGCTTTTTCCCCTGGATTCTGCCTTGGTGGTGGTGGAGGGTTTCAAACAGGGGGTGTTTCTCCTGTCCTTGAATTTTCAGCCCTTCTGCTGAACCCGCCCAGGGCGGGAGATTGTGGGAGGCAGAACAGCACAACAACGAAATTTGTGATGTGAAGCCTGTAAACAGGCTGCTGCTCAAAGACAGAAAGGGGTTTTGGAGCCACAAAAAGCACCTGGACAAAAAAAAAAAACCAAAAACATAGTTTTTCTCCACGTTGCCAAATTCTGACAGGCCCAAGCCCCGTTTCTGCCACAGAAAGTGTCTCTGTCGCCCTTTCAGAAATCCCAGAGGCTCCTGAGGGCTTAAAACAGACAAAGTTTAAGCCCCTAAATATCTCTTAAAATGTGGTTTGAGCTTTTAATCTCTTTCTTGGGATTTTTGGGATGTTCTCACCTTTATGGAGAATTAGGTTGCTCGTTATTGCATTCCAAAGTCTCCCCTTAAAGCCCAGCTTTATGTGTCCAGGTTGGAACATTTTGGCAAGATAAATCTATTTACATCTCCCTTTAATTGCAGCCCTAAATAAATGATGCTGTCTAAGCTGGGCTGGATCTCCAGGCCATCCTTCATCTGCAGCTCAGCAGCTTTCCATTGCCTTTTCCAGCACCACTTCCAGTTGCTGGAAGCCCCCAGCAAAGCCCATTTTCTTGCAGTGCTGGTTTGAAATGTGTTCTTTTCTGCTGCGTTTCAGACCTCAGCATGATGGAAACGGATCCTGAATCCATAGGACACCACTTTGCATCCAACAGCAGCTCCGTGGCAGCCGCCATCCTCGTGCCTTTCATCGCCCTGATTATTGCAGGGTTTGTGCTTTATCTCTACAAACACAGGTGGGTTTTGGGGGGCAGGAGACAAATTTGGGGGGGCCTCTCACAAACGTTGAGCTGGACTTAAAATCCCACCCCCTTAGACCTCTTTTAATTCAGAAGGTGAAAAAGTAATGAAGCAGAGCCCCATGGAGGGGTGAGGGCTTGGGAGGAGAGAGCAGTGAGAGGGTTTCTGACCATTAATAAGATTTGTGGCCACTTTAAGGAGGATGGAGCGAAGTAAATTCCACGCTCCAGTGTTCAAGCTGGCCTTGCATGTGTTGTAAATTAGTATTTTCTCCTGATCAGGGTGTTGCTGTGGGAGCTCTGCAGAGGGAGGGTGCCCAGGGTTGCAGCAGCACCCAGGAGCTGCTGTGCTGCAAATCTACAGTCAGATTTGTCTGCCTCATCCCCAGGGGTTTGCCTTCCTCAAAAGCAGCTCTGTCTTTCTTTTTCTTTCTCTTCTTTTTCTCTTTCTTTTTCTTTCTCTTTCTTTTTCTTTCTCTTTCTTTCTTTCCTTCTTTCTTTTCTTCCTCTCTCTTTCTCTTTCTCTTTCTCTTTCTCTTTCTCTTTCTCTTTCTCTTTCTCTTTCTCTTTCTCTTTCTCTTTCTCTTTCTCTTTCTCTCTTTCTCTCTCCCTTTCTCCCCTTCTTTCTTCTCTCTTTCTCTCTCCCTTTCTCCCTTTCTTTCCTTCCCTCCTTCCTTCCATCCTGTCTCCCCTCTCTCCCAAGGCCAGGTGGGATGGGGCTCTGAGCAACCTGGTCTAGTAGAAGGTGTCCCTGCCCAGGGCAGGGGGTGGAACTGCAGGAATGGCCTGGAGCTGTGTCAGGAATGTTTAGGTGGGATTTTAGAAAAAGGTTCTTCCCCCAGAGGCTGGTTGGGCACTGCCCAGGCTCCCCAGGGCAGTGGGCACAGCCCCAAGGCTGCCAGAGCTCCAGGAGGGTTTGGCTGATCCTCTGGGGCACAGGGGGTGACTCTTGGGGCTGGGCCTGTGCAGGGCTGAGGGTTGGACTGGATGCTCCTTGTGTGTCCCTTCCCGCTCAGGACTCTCTGTGACTGTGTGACCTCTGTGGGTTTGCTCTCCCCTGCTGCAGGAGAAGACCAAAAGTCCCGTTCAATGGCTATGCTGGCCACGAGAACACCAACGTGAGGGCCACCTTCGAGAACCCCATGTACGACCGGAACCTGCAGCCCACGGACATCATGGCCAGCGAGGCCGAGTTCACAGTGAGCACGGTGTGCACGGCAGTATAGCACCCACCCCCTGGTGAGTGAGCTGGGGCACTGCTGGGCCCCCCTCTGGCACCCCAAAACCACGGCACCGTGGCCTGCTTGGCTTGGAAGGGATCATAAGGGTCGTGTCACCCCATCACCCTTCTGCTGCCGCTAGCCCAGGTTGCTCCAACCCAGCCTTGGACACTCCCAGGGATGGGGCAGCCACAGCTTCTCTGGGCAGTCCATTCCAGCCCCTCCCCACCCTCACAGAGAGGATTTTCTTCCCAGTGTCCCACCTAACCCTGCCCTCTGGCAGTTTTGAAGCCGTGGGTCAGAGGAGCCCCTGGAGCTGTTCAGATGGCCCAAAAGACTTTGTGGTTCTTCCTGGGCCAGGAGCTGGACTCAGTCCTTGTGGGATTGAGCTCAGGATATTCTGATTCTAAGAGATCATCTCAACACAGGGCCAAACCCAGAATCCCAGAATCCCAGACTATGCCAGGCTGGAAGGGACCCACAAGGATCACTGAGTCCAACTCCTGGCCCTGCATGGGACCATGTGCTGGCTGCTGGTTGGGAACCTCTTGGAGACCAGTGGCCAAGCAAGTGCCTGTAAAGCTGTGGTGAGAACAGTCCAAAGGGGAAGGAAGAGTCGGGTCTGTAAGAGGGAGCATTCCCTGGGTGAATCCTGACGGGATTTTGCTCAGTGATCAGGGATTTCAAAGTTTTACTGCAGAGAGACATCACTTCGTGTCATAATCAAAAGCACCCTGTGGCCTGTAGAGCCCTTCCAGACTGGAATGTTCTCAGTTTAGGATAAGGAAGCCATTGCAGGCTCTCCCAGCATTTCTGTGTGTTAATAACAGGCTGTTTGCTTTTCCTTTCCCCCCATCCCAGATCGCTCCGGGGTCGGCGTCTGGTGGATGATTGTGTTTCACCTCACTAGTCTCCATCCATCCCCTGCCCATCTCCCTCCTCCCAACCTTTTGCTGAGGCTGTGGAGAAGCTGCTGCACCTCGTTGGACTTTGTGTGACCTCCTGAGGGACCGCTGGGTTTGTCCCCTGCCGTCCTTCCCCGCTCTCCATCCTGGATCACGAAGCCAACCAAAGGTCTGCTCCTGCTCAGCTCCTCCCTCCCCACCCTGCCAGGGGGGCTCAGCCCAACTTCCCTGGGCAAGGGGAGCACCTGGGAAGGCTTTTCCAGCCTGCTGCTGGTGGTGTGTTCCCAGAGGGAGCCGTGGGATGAGTGGGGGGCCCCACCAGCTGCCCCCCAACTCTGGGAAGACCTTGGGCAACAAAGGGGTTGTGCACAAGGTGCTGACTGGATTTATGGACAACACCAGGATGGGAAAGGATGAGCTCTTGTTCTGTCTGTGTTTGGGCTTGTGGGATATTTGTTTGTGGTTTTTTCTACCCCCCCAGGGCTCTGGCAGGGGAAGGGTTTTCAAATGGGACCCTCCCGATGGGGAAAGCGAAACTTTGGAAGCTTTTTCCCCTCTTCCCCGTTTCTTTTTCCTTTGGGCATTCTTGCTGGGGTTTTTTCTGCCCTGTGTTCGTTCCTGCAGCTCTCAGGGCTGGGGAGGAAACACTCCCCCTCTCCCTGGCTGCTGATCTGAGCTGTGTCCAAACCCCCTGACCAGGAAACCGCTGACAGACACCGAGGGACAAAAACCTCTTGAAAAAGAACTCTTAACAAATCCTGATTTCCCCCCTCAAAAAGCCTTTGCCCTTTTCATATTGATCCTCCAAAATGGCAACTCCAAATAAGAGTTTTAATTTCTCTCCAGAGCTGCTCCCTTTATTTCCCAGGGGCACAGAGGTTGCCTTGGCTTTCAGGGGAGCAGATAAGGCAGCTTGACATTTCTCCTGCCTTAGAAGACAACGAGGCTTTGGCGAGTTTGGCCTCCTCTGATGAGGAGCAGAGCTGCTCTTGTTGATCCAGGCTTTGAGGCTGTTTGCTCTGAGGGCCCCTTTTTGGAGCCAGGGGAGGCAGCAGTGGCATTTCCCAGGTGAGAAGTGAAATCCTGTGTCACCGAGGCAGCTTCCTCCTGCAGGAGACTCCAAGGGAAATCAGCATTAAACCTCGAGGGTGGTGTTTACATCCATGCTCTCCCATCCAAGCACTAGTTTTTTTCCCCTCCCTGATGTCAGCTGAGGTTCTGCCTAATGAAAACCACAGGGTAGGTTTGTTTTTTTATTTTTCCCTGGTTTGTTTATTCTTTTACTCTGTGTGTGTGTGTGCGTGTGTGTGTGTGTATATGTATATAAATATATATTATTTTTTTTACTTCTGTCTCTTATTCAGTGCTCTTAGAGTAAAGCAGCATTCTCCAGCCTCGTGGCTGGACAGCCAGCCTGCCAAAAAAAAATGCCACCTCCGCTGCCCAAAGCAGGAAAAGGTGCTGGGATTCCTCCCTGAGGGGTGGGAGAAGGAGCCAGAGCCCTGATCCTACGTGGGCAGGGGTCAGTGGGCAGGGGTCAGGGAGGTGCTGCCACATGGGGCTGGGCACACAGGGAGCCCAGGGCATTGCTGAGCCGTGTCCTGCAGCAGGGAGTGCTCCCAAAAACCCAGGGAGAGGCTTCCAGGCCTGAATTCCATGGGCAGCCAGGCTGGGCTGTCCCTCTGGGGGCTCCCCCAGCTCGCAGGACAAGGACCCCAGAAGGGTCAGGGCCAGAGGGGACACTCAGCTGTGGGGCCAAGGTCTGTCCCCCCTCAGTTTATCAGCCGGGCAACCCCAGGGAGGGCAGAGCTGGGAGATTCCCGTGGATCCTGCAGGGAAGCAGCTGCTTCCTGCCTCCAGCTGGGCTCTCCTGGCCCACCCTTGACCCCCAGGTCCCTTCCAACCTAAATTATCCCGGGATTCGTGCCCCTGGCCAAAGCCACCCCCTGCTCTGTCCCTGCTGCTCCAGCACCCGCCGTGTCCCAGCTCCTCTCCCAGTTCCCAAAATCCCAACCCCTCCGTGGCAGCAGAGCTTGGAGCCCTCCAGGTTCCTGTCCCTGAGCTCCAGAAAAGCCTCTCCAGGCTGGGAAGGTGCCAAACCCCCCGAGGGTGCTCTGTGTGGAGAGCAGGGATGGCCACACATAACGCACACGTTGGCTCTCCAGACCTTCCCGTGGAATAACCAGGAGAAACTCGAGTCAAGGTGTGTAAAAATAACCCCAAATTATTTAAACACCCATGCAGGGGGAGAGGGGAAGCTCTGCCTAAACAAGACTTGCTGCTTTTGACCCATTTAAGTACCTTTTTCTGCTGTTGCCCAAGTAGCAAAGGAAGTGGAAGGGGGTTTATCCCGATTTTTTTGCAAGCTGGCTGGGACCTGATGCGTGACATTTCTCCATCCTTGTGCCCAGAGGACTTGCATTATGTTAAAAAAAAAAAAAAAAAAATGAAAAAGGTAAAAAAATAAACAAAAAAGTAAAAAGAAAAAAAAAAAGTAAAAAAAAAAACCACAAAAGGAAGAAAAACTAACAAAAAAAAAGAAAAAAATCCCTCTTTTGTACAGAGATATATTTTTATGAATCAGAAGTTTGTACAGTTAAAAAAACCCAATGTAAATGTTTTTTTCATTATTGTAGTAAACAGTAGTGGAAGATCAGCTTTTTTTTGTAAATGTAATAAAATGTATAAATCTGGTTTACATAAAAGTGTACATATGTAATCTATACATACACCTGGCTTGTCTGCAGTATATACAATTTAATTTATCTGTCTCTGTATATGAGGCTTTTCCTTGTGTTCAGGCATCCTTTGCTGAATTTGAAAGCTATTTTAAATTTTTGACTTCAAAATAAAATATAAATTTTTGCATTGCTTTTCTTACATTTCCTGCTGCCTTTTTCGTGGAGCTGCCAAAGGCTTTTTTTTTCCCCAGGATCCTCTGGATTCTCACACAAACACACACACACGTGAGGTTCCTGATGTTCCAGCTGCTTGGAAGCACATCCCAAGGAGGAAAATAGGGAAGGTTCAGGCAAGACCAACCCTTTTCCCCATCACCAGTGGGAATTCCAGGGGAATTCAGCCTGGATGTGGTCCCTGCTCTGTGGAGGCAGCAGCTCATCCGTAGGGAATGAGACCAACCCAACATCTGCCCTCCCTCCCTCCCTTCCCAGCTCTCTGCACTGATGGGATGTGATGTTATTCCAGCTGGGATGTGATGTTATTCCAGCTGTGCTCCCCCCCTCCAGCCAGGAATGGATGCTCAGGCTGTTGGCAGCTCCTGCCCCTCTGTCAGGGCACATCAGCAGAGCCCCTTCTGAAATCAGGAGCTCAAAGGTCCTCCAAGAAACAAAGGGAAAATCCTGAAATGGGGATTTAGTTCAGAGCCCAACTGCCCTGAGTGGGTGATGTCCCTCTTAATCCAGGGCTGGGGCTGAATTCACGTGGAAAATTAAATTGGCAGGGAATTTTCTGGTTGGAAAAGGACATTACAAATGTGCCTCCCATCAGGAATTGTGAGGGGACCCGAGCTGGCTGAATTTTTTTGGTGTTGAACAGGTACATTGTCACTCCTGGATCCCTCAGTGGGGTTTGGGCCGTGGTTTTGCTCTGGGCTGCACTAAAACCTCAGCACAGGGGTCTCCCATGGGTGCTCCTGTGACACTGGCTCACCTGTAACACCTAAGGAGGCGTTATTAGTTAATTAATTAATAAGTTACCCCTGCAGGGCAGGGCAGGAATCACCTCTGATGATGATTTTTTTTTTCCAGGACACAGAATAATCCCCCCTCTGCTGGGGCTGCAGCCACAGGGATGGAGCTCCCAGTCCCTGTGGGATGGCTGCTGTAAATCAGCTTTTCCCCTCCTCCCCTGTTCCCTTGCAGGGTGAGGTGACCTTGGCTGTCAGAGATGCATTAAAAGCAGGTGATGCTGCTCCACCAGCACAGCCAGAGCTCAGCCAAGTGTTTTAACTCTTTGGAGCTGTGGGATTTGGCTCTCTGGGACATCAAGTCTTTGTTTAGGACCTGCCCTGGCCAGGCCAGGAGGTCTGAGCCTGGTTTTAACACCCTGGAGAGCTCTCTGAGGTCCTGTAGCCACCTTGGATTTTGCATTTGGACTTTCCAGGTGCTCCTGGCCATGGAAAAACAGGGTGCAAAGAGCCTCGAGGGCATCATCTGGGGGGTCACTAAGGCACTTAAAGCCCCTTAGGAAAGTTGCCACGAGTTCTTTGGGAAGCTGGGAAAGCGAGGGACGTGCAGAAGGGATGCAGAGAGCTGGGAGCAAAGCAGAAGTGGTTCCCAGGATTTGAGCTGTGCTGGATTATTCTGCATCTCCTTGAGCCCCACTGGGGACAAACACACTCGCTTTTATCTCCTGGGAAGGTGATAAATTCCTCCCATCCTCCTCTGAGCAGGTGAGTGACAGAAAATCCACCCCAAGGACAGGTGAATGAGCAGCACCCACAGGAAACCTGCCCCAAAATGAGCCCCCAAGTAGGACATGGGTTTGTGTTATTCAGCTGGGATCTTGCAGCTCTGCAGGAGGAGGGAACTTCCCGGAACTTCAGAAACAGTTCCAAGCACTAAGAGGAGAATTTATAGTTCAGTGCTAGGGGGGAAAATGCATAATTCATTCTCCAGGCTTTGGAAGAGCTAAGAAAAAAAAAAAAGTGGGGTAAAAACTTAAAGAAAAAAAGTGGCATTTGATTTCTGCTGGTGGTGGGAGCTGCAGACGAGGGCTCAGGGGGCATTCACCTGTCAGGGAGTTCAGCACCCCTGGGGAGCAGAATGGGGTTTACTTGTGGCTGTGGGAATTCAGCACAGGAAAATCCCAGGGAAAGGGTTAAAAGCAAGGGCTGGGAGCAGGCCTGGCTCTCCCTGCTGATCCCAGGGGGATGTGCAGCCAGCCCTGGCCGTGTCCTCATTAACCAAACTGCTGCAAAGGGCCTGGATTTAGGAAATGTGTGACAATGAAGTGCTATTAGTGTGGGAAAGGAGCTGCTTTAGTTATTTCAGCCCGGAGAAAATTATTCCTCTGGCAGACAGGTGAGATAATTAATCATGATCATCCTCCCAGCACATCTAATATTCCAGGGTGGGCAGGCACTGGTGCCTTTGGCAGCAGCCACCCCCTCTGCCAG